CGTTCATCTGGTGGTGGTGGTGGTGGTGGTGGTGGTGGTGGTGGTGGTGGTGGTGGTGGTGGTGATGATGATGATGATGATGATGATGATGATGATGATGATGATGATGATGATGATGATGATGATGATGATGATGATGATGATAGAGGAGGGGAAAAGAGATCCATTGAGGGTCTCGAGCTTACCAGCACGCCAGACCTGACGCTCATGCTCCTCTGCGACGGCAACATAGTGAGCAAACGAGTAACAACATGGCTGCTCATAGAGACGACAGGACTTGGGCAGGTATGGCACAACAACTGCTACAGCATGCAAGCGCGGCAGGTAGGACAGAAGTGAGGAAAGGGAACGTAGACTCCGGCTGGGGACGGCTGGGGAAAGGGATGAGTAGGACGAGATATGGGTGTAGCAGAGTCAATGTTGTTGCTGGTGGAGTTGACAGTGATGGAGGAAGAGGAGGAAGGAGGGCGACGGGAGGGGGATGGCGAATGAGGCAGATCATGCCAAGTAGTGGATAGGAACCTTGTCTCAGCATGGAGGGGGAGATTGGAGAAGGAAGATGAGGAGGGATAAGAGAAACTATGGATTCAACCATCGCGATCAGGACGGGAGCGGCCACGAGTCATATGAGGAGGGAGGAGGAGAGGGAGAGGTCAAGAAGAATGTGGAGTGGAAGTGCAAAGAGGGTGGGGGAAGGAGGAGGAGGTGGTGGTGGTGGTGCAGGAGGAGCAGGAGGAGCAGGAGGAGCAGGAGGAGCAGGAGGAGCAGGAGGAGCAGGAGGAGCAGGAGGAGCAGGAGGAGCAGGAGGAGCAGGAGGAGATCTTGACCCGGAGGGAGGAGGAGGGGAGGCTGCATGAGAAGCCTGAGCTCATCGCCATCATCGCCGCCGCCATTGTTGCTCGCAAGAACCACATGGCCATTATGCCTTTATGACACCCCCACCCCCACCCCCTTTTGGTTATTCCACGACCCGTCCCGCTTTCTAATAGGCTGCGGCCTGCAGTGCCGCGCTAGTATCGGATGATCGTGGCGCGGCGGGCCTGGCAGGCCGGGCCGGGCCGGGCCGCCCCCGGGCCCGGACGGGAGTCTTACCGTACTGGGCCCATCACGGTGGGCCGGGGGGTACCGTAGTACGGTCCAAGGTCACTCACTCAGCGAGAGTTCCAAGTTCCGACTCATTTCCGACTGCACGGTACGGTCCGTCGGCCGCCGCAGTGACGGTCGGACTCTGACTCGATTCACAGAGTCTGCCTTCAATTCCGAGCGGCCGCCGGGCGGATGATCGGACCGGACCGGCCGCCGCGGGGCGATCGGATGATCATGGCATCACTCCGCATACCGTACGATGGCCGGGCCCGGGTCGGACTCCGGGGAACTTCGGAAGACGACGACGAGTCTGAGGGATGCCATGATGGCAGTCGGAGGTGATCTAGAAGAGGCTGACCGGCAGGCTTAAGAGGGTGCCACTCACGGATCCTCCATGGTCAGTCACGGCGGTGCTCGGGTACTCCACCCCCACCCCCAAAATTACACTTGAAATGACCCCTGATGTCTCTCGAAGGAGGCGGTTGTGGTCTGCAGGCTAAAAGTTTTTAAATAGGTACTAACAGTCCTTCAGGACCCCTGGTCCAATCGAGAACAGAGTTATAAGTACCCCTCCTTTCCAGGAAGAGCTGGTCAAAAAAAGGTGGGTACTACCCACCCACCCATGAAAGCAAGGCTATCCTCCTCCACTATTGGAAGGATTTTCTGCCTCCTTGCTCGCCCTGTACTTCCCCTCCCGCCACATCTAAACCCTCCGCAACCACGACAGGTCCTGCCTACTACACCCTAAAGCTCGTATCGCCTCTCCTCGTCAAACACCAGTGTATCTACCACCATCCTCCTGCTTCTAAGCTGATTGTTCGGACGATCGCTTCGGCGGACTGATCAGCTTCTTGCGAGTTTCGAAGGACAGATGTGGAGTGATTAAGAGCAGACTGTTCGATCGAGGCCTCTAATAATGCACCACCAGAGCCAGAGTAATGCGCCGATGTCCCGACAGAATCTTGTGCAGGACACAGACCTTGCCTTGAAGCTCGACGCTGCCCATATTGCCTTCTCATCCTACGACAACAATCACTACAACATCTTTCCCTTCGCTCCGACTGGAAGCTTGACCCAGATTTGGAACCCGAACGTGTACATCAGCGGACATGCCGCAGAGCCACCGAACCCTCTAGGATCAAGATCCCCCGACCTGCTCCTGATGGAGGACAGGCTATCGTCCTCGTCCACGACAATGGGAAACTTGGAGGATCCCATGGCAGACCTGACTCCCATGGGTCTAACATGGAAGCTGCCTCCTGAAAATCCCTCAGAGACGAAGGACGACAGGAGGAGGAAGAGCTGTCTAGCGCGTGGCAGATTTCTGCAGGACGGGACCGTGAGGAAGCGCGTGCGGTTCGAGGACGTGCAGCATCCCCCCAACACGGAGTGTAAGATCTGTAACCTCAAGTACGATCTGAGCCAGGACGATGACAGCGAGTTCTCACTGGGCCCAGGAGATCCCTTCGAAGTGAGTAAAAAGTGCAAGCGGTCATGAGTTGTTGTACATTAGTGCCAGTAAAAGATTGTTGTCAATCTCAACAAGTCCGGTCGTGTGATCTCTTGCATGTTCATTCAAGATTCTACAGGAATAGATTTAAGATCCACGATGCGATATTGGCTTCTATCTCTGTTACAAATCCAAACGCATCTTTGTACTTGCCTCCCGTTGCGTAGAATCCAGATTTTACATGTCACTCAAGTTATGAACAAAAAACCATGTATGAGGGTCGAAGTTTGAACGTAAGAATTATTCAAACACACACAATAATTATGCTTCACTACAATCTAGATCAAATTACTTTTCTATCCACATATATACTGTTTGTGCGTGCAAGCAAGACAAAAGAGAAGAACTTTGAAACCTCAAAGAATTTAATGAGTTCACGTAGTTTACAACAGTATGTTCTAAGAATACACAGAGTGGTTGGAATCATCAGTGATGCCTCCTCTTCGACTTGGAGGATCTCACAACGTAGGGGTCTCCAGGACCCAGTGAAAGCTCGCTATCATCCAATCCCAGGGAGGAGGCCTGACGTTTCAATGGCGCGTGGCAAGACGACCCTGTGCACTCCAAGCCCTTCCTCTTCCTCGACTTCTTCATATCGGATTCCAGCTGAAGATCGACCTCTTCGAGCTTCTCGAACCTGCTCTGAGGTGGCCAGGGCCAGTTGAGGCTTGACTCGATAGATTCGAGGGCTTCGTCCGAGGAAGACATAGAGAGCTCGTCACTCTCAATCTGTGTGTTGGAGGACTGGTCATCAGGCTTGCTGTTCGTGATCATAGCCCTCGCCGTTGATGAACGAGCTTGTTTGCTCGGTTCCGATTCCGCAAGACGGTTCCTCGGGAGTGCAAGAAGAGGAGCCTGATTCGATGAGCTGTCATCCTTGCTTTCCGGTCTCATGCTTGATGCGAGAAGAAGGAATTGCGCTAGATCTCTAGATGCATTAGGAAAGTTCTGCATGGGGAAGTGATGAGGATATAGGTTTGATTGGGAGAGTGGAATGTTCACAGAAGGAGGATGGAATGGTTTATGTGTAACGAAAGTGGCGACGAGGAGACAGATGAAGAGGACTGATGAAAAATTGAAAAAAGAAGGGGGGAGGGGGGCGGGGGGGGAGACAATTCCAAGGGGTTGCTGATCGTTGGGGGTAGGGGTCGGTAATCCTTGTCTGAGTACCCCCCTCTAGCAACTTACAGACAAGTCTAAGTACCGGGTAGATTAAATTTGAGGAATACATTTCAACAGGGGGTAGAGGAGGGTCCTGACGGTAACGAGATAAAATTCAAGAGGGCAGAACAGCACCATGGGGTGGGTACTTTCTGACTGCCATGAGGGGGTGTTAAAATCCCCAACACAGTAAGTTTGGGATTTTAATAACAGTAATTGACGAAGCGCTGTATGATTTGGACAACACAACACAACAAGTTCTTTTTAAAATGTACCACCCACCTCAATTCCTCTAGAATTCACCGGTCCTATTGCCCACGAGACCACCACGGTGGTCGTGAGAGTACCGTGATGGCTCCCTGTAGTAAAACGACCTCCTTGCGCCCCTGGAGGATTTGCGCGGGATGGTGACAGGAGTATGAGGGGGATGAGTGAATTTAGGGGATGAGGGCTATTTCTTATCGGTTATCCAATTTCTTTGGGAATCTGTTGCAGGCCGTTGCGGTGGCGGTTGCAGACTGCCTTGTGGGTCGGAGGTGGGACGAGGGATAAGTCCACCTTTGGAGGAGAGGGGATGAGGGACAAAAGGGTCGTGGGCAGAGGGGGGATGAGGCTGTAAGGGATCCCATCAGGGTTTCATGTATCCTTGGCGATACGCATGAGATATAAAAGAATGCGGAGGAGAGGAAGAAGCGAGAGGGTAGGCGAAGGAGGGGGACAGGGCAGGGCAGGGCAGGAGTGGAGAGAGGAGGAGACGAGGGGACGAGCGAGCAGGGAGGGAAAAGGAGAGGAGGGCAGGGGGAGAGAGGGCAGGGGGAGAGGAGGGCAGGAGAGGAAAGAATCATTCACACGATTCCTTCGTTCGTCGGAAGAAGGAGTGGGTTTTGGGGGTTATGGTGCAGCAAAGGAACGAGAGAAGAGGAGGAGATCGAGTTGGTGCGCAGAATTTGAGAACGACTAGGGAAGGGGGATAGAAAGGAGGAGAGGGCGAATGTTTGAGAAAAGATACAAGAATGAGAATGAGCGAAGAGGAGATACTTTGAAGTTAGGGAGGTCGTTGTAACGAGATGCGTCATGAGAAAACGGTGGATGAATGTCGTGATATGGTTGATGTTTTGGACGAGGAATCTCTTGAGAGGTCATGGCGTGGCGAGTAGCTCAGGTGATCAGGGGCGACGATGCATCGTCAGTCTTGCTGATTGAAGGCATCGAGCAGTATCGCGTTGTTGACTTCGTTGATCCAGAGGCTCCTCTCTTCATGTCACAACACGAGGTCTGAACCTGCGAGCAAGACTATCCCGACCGATGCAAGCCAACGTATTTGTGCTCCTCCTCCTCTTCTCCTACTTCTCCTTCACCGAGGTTTGCGGGTTTACCGTGCCCGTCCGAGCACCAGCAGGGCTCCTCGTGAGGGTCGGCCCAGCCCGGGACGCCCATCCATGGCTGAGGACCGTCGGGCGAGGGCAGCAGCGACGGCCCGGAGGAGCAAGAGTCTCGCTGCTGTCTATCTGCATGAAGGCGCAGCCAGACTACTACAAGGTGCTGGGTGTGGACAAGAAAGCTGACGTGGCGACGATCAAACGGGCGTACAAGAAGCTGGCGATGAAGAATCACCCGGACGTGAACAAGGAGGCAGGAGCCAAGGACAGGTTCATCCTGATCAACGAGGCCTACGCCGTCCTCTCTGACCCGGAGAAGCGAAGGAAGTACGACTTCACCTCTTCTAACCCTTTCTCCGGCTGGTCCTCCTCCTCCTCCTCCTCCTCCTCCTCCTCGTGGGGCTCTCGGAACACCGGAGGGGGATTTGATACGGACGAGTTCTGGTCGAGGTACAAGAGCAAGGAGGAGACGACCAAGGACATCGATGACAGCTTCGAGGCGATCTTCAGCGACCTCTTCAAGGGGGTGAAGGGAAGCTCGCAGAGAGCTCGAGAGAAATCCTCGCTCATCGATGACTTCGGGGACTTCCTGGAGGCCCTGCTGGGGAAAGAAGGTAGTGCAACATGCACGTTGAGGGGAGGGAAGGAATGAGGGTGAGGGGGGAAGAGGGAGGGAGGAGGAGGAGGGATTGGTGGTGGTGGTGGTGGAAGTGCTCTCGTGTAATCCTGGCTTTGACTCTCTCAGGCATCACCGAAGATGATCAGGATGAAGTTTTGGATGACGATGAAGAGACTCTTCGACTGGAGATAAAAGTGACGATCCCCCTCCTCTCTCCCTCCTTCGCTTCTTCCACCTTCCCCCCTTCATCTTCCCTCCTCCCCTCCCTCCCTCCCTCCCTTCCTCCCTCCTTCCTCCCTCCTGTTCCATCCTCCCACATGCTTCCTTCTTCCTTCCATGCTCCTTCCTATTCGTCAATCCCGCTGTTTCATTCCACTCCGATCCTTTTTGATCTCCTTTCCCTCCTCTTGCTGCACTCCTGTCTCCTCTCCCTTCGGTCGCCAGTCTCATCGTCGGATACTAGGATGCCAAGTACGTTCTTGAGCAGCTAGAGGAGAGGTCGCGCCGGCTGAGGTAAACAGACCCTCTCCTCCCCTCCTCCTCTTTTTCTCCTCCCCTCTCATCCCGTTTGCTCGCCACCCCCTCGTCTCCTGCCCTTCTCTCCTCTCTCCTCTCTCCTCACGCTTGTCTTCAGCGAGGACGCGTCCAAGGCAGATTCCATGGCCAGCGAGTAGGAGTTGCGAGCATGCGACCTGTGCTAACATCTAACAGGTGGAAGAAGAAATCAGATGCTCCTAGTATGGATCCTGCTGTTGCCCGAGCAGCCAAGGTCTTTTTTCTCCTCCCTTCCCCATCCTCCCACTTTCCACCCTCCCTTCTCCCTTCTCCCTTCTCCCTTCTCCCTTCTCCCTTCTCCCTTCTCCCTTCTCCCTTCTCCCTTCTCCCTCCTGCTACCTCCTTGTTCACATACCACCGTCTCCTTCGCATGTCTTGACTTCTCACATGCGGAGCAGGAGAAAGTGTCCTCCTTCACCAACAGTGCTCAGAGGTTCCGCGAGAGATCCAAGAAGGTGGCGGAGATGGCGAACAAGCAGAAAAAGAAGATCGAGAGGATGGAAGAGAAGCTGAGCGGTGGATCAGGCAAGGCAGCTGCATCAGCAGGTGAACCTCTCGTTTTCTCTTCCTCGAGCTCAGATTCATGAGCAGGAGAGAAGGACGATGGCAAGACTGTCGTCTCCTGCCCCAAGTGCTCCCAGAAACTTCGCGTACCAGCAAGGGTATCGATCATCCCCCCGTCCCTCTCCCTCTTCTACGACCTCCCCCGCTGCTACTCCTCCTGCTCCTGCTCCTGCTCTTCCCCCCTCCATCCTGGTCCTCCTCATCCTCATCCTCATCCTCATCCTCATCCTCATCCTTATCATCATCATCATCATCATCATCATCATCATCATCATCAACAACAACAACAACATCGTGCTTCCGTTATTCTCCCTCTCACTCGCTCTCTCCTCAGGTCTCTGGAATGGCCAAGTGCCCGGCTTGTTCCTACGAGTGGGAGGTGCAGAAGCGTGCGGGCAAGAGGGATAGGCAGCCTGACGTCCCTCTACAGAGAGTGGTGGAAGTGGTGGGGAGGAAAGAGGGGGGGAAGCAGGAGGCAAAGGTCAAGGAGGAGAGGAAGGGGAAGGAGGAGGTGAGCGGGAAGGAGGAGGTCAAGGCAGGAAGCAAGCAGGAGGAGGTCACTGCACGAGTTGTTGTCTCCTGCCCCTCCTGCTCGCAGAGGTTGCGAGTGCCCAAGGTGAGGCGATACATGAGGGACGGAAGAGGACGAGGACAAGGAGCGAGAGGAAGCGAGAGGGAGAGGAAGAAACGAAGAAATGTGAGAAGGGAGGAGAGGAAGGTGAGGGGCTGAGGGATGAGTTGGGGTAGGACGCGCAAGGATCACATGAAGGGAGGGAGGAGAGGAGGAGCAGCGCAGAGCAGAGGAGGGCAGAGCAAAGGAGGAGGAGGAGGAGAGGGGGATGAAACTCTTGGTAGGGGAAGAGAGGAACCGTCGCCTGCCCGTCCTGCGGGAAGAAGTTCGAGAGCGACGGGGAGGAGAAGAAGCAGCCGAGTGGCTCAGCTCCTCCTAGCGGCAGGACCTGGAGGGATGGACCTGAGGACGAGGTGATCTCCCGTTGACCCTCCTGCTGTTTGCGGGGGATTGAGCTGGGTTCTAGCTGGGCAGGTGGGCCGCGGAGCAGAAGATGAGGCAGGACCTTGCCAAGGCCAAGGTGGAGAAGGAGCTGGAGGAGCTCAAGAACAACCTGGGGCTATGACGTCACCAGTACCGGCTGACTGCGTGCGGCGCACGGCCCCGGGTAGTAACTTTTAGTCATCGGAGTTGACTCAGCATCAGCAGCGGCCCGGGGGCCGCTTGCCGCTTTACTCAGTGACCAGCCTCCGTTGACACTTCTATCACTAATCATAGTACCGTCACCGGGCCGGGGCGGCCGCCCGAGCAGCCTCTCACTGACCGTACAGAAACCGTCGCCGTACCGCCCGGCCGATCGGACGGTACCGGGTGACCGCGGCCGCCCGGCCGGGACCGTTCGTCTCAGCCTCAGGCTCAGTGAGCCGCGGGCGCGGCCCCACCTGAGCTTCGAAGTTTGAGCCTAGGCCGCCGCGGCCCCGGGCCAGAATATTCAAGCCTAGTAGTATCACTGATGATGTGACATGATGGGCCCCGGCCCCCGGAGTTCAGTCCGAGTTGTTACTCAGTCGGTCGTTTGTAACCGTTGCCAACGATTTCTTACATCAAATAACGGATGTAACGACATCTATCTCATCTGGTTACACCACATAACGGATGTAACGACGCCTATCTCAGTCATAGTGACATCGGTTACACTGTAACCGCAGCCAAAAAGGACAAACTTTTTTTATTTAAAATCAGTTTTAGCCGTTACTTTACTCAATCCCATGGTCAGGTACTAAAATGCATGCGAGTCCATGGCGAGGGGAGGAGGGAGGAGGGAGGAGCTACAAGCATGGGCGGGATTGGGGGCTGGGCTGAGCATGAGGATGGTCAGGAGGAGATACGAGAGGAGAGGAGAAGCTGAGATTAGGAGGAGATGAAGGAATGGAAAGGGATGACGAAAGAGATTTATGGCCGTTCGGGTGGCCAACATGCCTTGCCTCTTGAAATCTCTGACATGTTGCTGCACAGAAGAGCTGCAGGAGTGGTTGTTTTCCCGTGATGGTCGCTGGCAGGAATGTGTAGCATATAATTCTCGCCGGAAATCTTTCTTGTCGACTTGAGGAATCGCTGGGTATGTTGAGACAGGGCAGGTGCTAGTCGCTGGGAGGATGAAGATGAGTGCGATAGGAGGAAATCCTGCAAAGAATCGCAGGATCAGCCTGAAACATGTCGAGACTGTACCGCGCGTTGCGAATCGATGCTTTCGTGATCGTTGCGTCGCCATCCGCGACTACATGCGGCTGCTGGCCAGGCAGGGAAGAAATTTCGACCATCAGCTGAGGGATTACGATGCGAATATGCACAGAGCAGCGGATTCCTCCGTCTTCTTCTGCTCGCGCCCCATTCAAACGGCGCTGAGCCGGAAGGTTTTCAACATCCTCCTCATCTGCCTTTCCGCCATGTACCTCTCCATCACTGCGGCATGGGCGAGGAGGGTCGCGACGGGGGGCAGCCACAAGTTGCGGTGCTTCCGCTTCTCTTGCTTCGAGCTTCGCGATGGAAGCAGGTGCAACGGGCGTGTGAGCCTGCAGAGAGTTGGGATCCTGCACTACGAGAGCAGCGCCGAGCATGACGAGGCCGGGGTTGGCCCTACACTGGCGGAGGAGGGGTGGGGCAACTGCACGATAGACTTGAAGTTCCCCAAGCCCGTGAAGATGAACGGCTTCTTCTTCGTCACAGCGAGCGGGAGAGGCACAGAGAGCGAGGACCCGGTTCGCTTCCTGCTGGAGGGCTCGCAGTGCGACGGCAGGTGGAAGGTGGTTGGAGCGTCGGCATGGCGATATGACTGGCTGAAGACGAAGAGCGAGGACTTGAGCGTGTATCGCTTCTGGAATGGCCGGTACAACACAACCAAGTCTCGAGGAGAGATGGAAGTTCTGTCGTTCCACACACCAGGGTTGGAGACGCTCCTCATCGTGCTGCTAAATCTCTTTAGGACCCTGCTGCTCGGCGTTCCCGCCATGTTCGGTCTGCTGAAGAGGGAGGAGCAGGGTAAGAAAGCGATCCAGGTTGGAATCCTCTGCCTGGTCGCCAACTTGCTGGCCTTGCTGTGCGTTGACGAGGAGAATCGGCTGGGAATGATGACCAATGTCATTCTCTCTCTCAGCTTCTTCCTCTCCCTCCGCTACTTCGAAGACGAGACTCTCTTCTGGCTCTCTGCCTTGGTTATCTTCGGCTCCTGGTGCGTGCTCGGCTACATGATCGCTTACACCGCAATCTTCCGCGTTGGCCTGCTCGTCTCTCTCTCCAGCACGTGCGTGCTGCTGTACAGGGACCATGTGCTGTCCACGAGCTGGAACCTGGTCAACTTCGACAGGGCGAGGTATGAGGAAGGATGGAGACTCTTCCTCTCGCGCCTGGAGCAGGAGGAGGAGGTGAAGCAGCTCTCCAACTACCTCCGTCACATCGTCGGGAACGCGTCGATCCACAGCCTGCAGGCGGGGATGGTCATGCGGCGGTGGTTGAAGAAGAAGTCGTTTTCTGATCTACTTCAGATGCGATTCTCCTCTTCTGTGTCTGATGGGGTGATGCAAGTCGACAGGGATGGAGTTCCGGTCCAATCGCTCCATCGCCTCTACTCGCAGGCTGTTTGCCTGCAGGTAGTCCTTGCGGAGAAGGTGAGGTGGTGGGCGTCGCAATCTAGAGGATACTTTGTGGTTCAGGATCAGGAGGGGAGGAACGCGTTCATAACTTGTGAGGAGGCGCTTGCTCTGCAAGACTCATCTCCGACTTCTTCGAGTATCATCCCCCTCAAGTCCATCAGCAGAACCATCGAGAAGGTGGCGCGAAGTTACGGAGGAGAAGTTTGCCGCGTCCTTGACATCTCCCGCGCTCGGATTGTGTTCGACGACATCGAGGGAGTCTCGAGATGCTTGTCAATCATCAAGAATGACAGAGACGTTGAAATCCTGCGACTCAAGGGGAGGATGGCGCAGGATCAGCGGGCAGACTGCGAGGAGAGCGACGGAGACAGCTTCGGTAGGAGGGACCTGATGATGAACATCTGCATCAGGAACGAAGAGACAATCTGCCTTGGGGTCGAGAACCACATCGCCGAGGTTCAATTGCAAGTCATCACGCTCGCTGCCCTCCAGACGAGCGAAGCGCATTCCCGTTACCTCGCAGTGAGAAACTTGAGGAGGGAATGAAGCTTTCCCTTACCCATCTCCTTGATTCTCCATCTTCGTCTATCCTTTACCAGATTCTCGTCGCCTGTGGCCTTCACAGTCCTCCTCCTCCTCCTCCTCCTCCTCCTCCTCCTCCTCCTCCTCCTCCTCCTCCTCCTCTCTCAGCTCGCTCAGCGCACGCGTCAAGACTCAGCCCGACGGCGATCATTCAGGAAGGAAGCCCTGAGAGCAAAGCAAGACTTACTGGCTCGCGAGCGACAAGGCACAAGACATTTCAAGAGTAAGGGGGCTGATCAGACTGATGGCCTGCTAGAAGTATCTTGTCTTTACTTTCAAATGGTCCTGAACTACTAGACGTCAACCATAATGCGTAGAAAGCAAAGTAGCACGCAAAAGACGTAGAGCAGTCCAGCCAGAGATCACTGTACTTCTACGACTGCCACTTTACCAAGGGCTGCGTCATCGAAAACTTTTGTTGTAGCAACCTGCAGGTGAAGTCAAATCCCCACCCTCCATGAAGTGCTGGCAAATATCTTCCTCCTCTCGCTTCATGGCGTCCACACGCCGAAGTGCTCTCGCCAGTCTCGCTGCTTGCTCGTGGATGTGCTGAAGAACCCGATGTGCTCTATCAGGTTCGGCACCACCAGGTACGTCGGTAGCTCAGAAGCCTCCAGCTGTTTTCCTACCAGCACGTCTACAGGTTCCACGGGCTTGGTCAAGTTTGCGGCCTCCTCCAGCAGAGCCCGGCGAAGAGGCTCGACCACCTGGCGGGGGAAGAGGATGCCAACATTGGAGGCAGCGGGGGATGGGGAAACGAGCGCGTGCGCGAGGACGAGAGGCTTGCGCAGCTGGATCCAGTAGGGCCTGCCTATGGCAACGGCGACGAAGCTGATGGCGACGGCAAGGACGAAGGAGCCGAGGAGTCTGTCGCACAAGGAGCATTTCCTGAGGCGAGAGCGGCAGGCAAGGAGCAGGACGAAGCTCAGCAGGCCCGACAGGATGGAGATGAAGAAGATCTCATGGATCACGTCCAATCCGAAGCCCATCCACTCCTCCTTCATGAAGAGCTTGACCATGCCGAACCTCCGACGCGTCTCCAGCAGAGAGCCCAGGACATATCGCAAGACCTTGAGGATGAGGGAGCTGCAGAGAGCGTCGTCCTCCATCATCACACAGTAGGTGGCTCTAGAGCCCTCGCAGTCTCGCAGGAAGTTGGCGTAGTCAAGGATCTGATGTCTCAGGTACTCGTCGCTGCTCGCGGGGTCTGTCCTGTTGAAGGTGTGGTTCTTCACCGGGACAAACTCCGACAGAGTCTCGAGCTGGGCGGTGAAGTTGCCGAAGCTCGCAACTGCGAGGGAAGCGTTGTTGTCCTGCAGGAGTATCGGAAGGAGCTTGACTACCGTCCGAGACAGGTAGAGGTACCTATCTCGCTGCTCCGATGACCGCGTCATGATCAGGAACAGGAACTCGACGCAAGTGCTTGACGACAGTCTCCTCAGGATCTGACTCGCGTTGCTGCGCATGCCTGAGAGCAGGGCTCGTGTCCTACGAGCTTGCTCGCCCTGTATGGCGATCAGCAGCTCCTTGCTGTTACGATCGGAGTCGAAGAGCGGCGAATGGCCGAGGTCCTGCCAGAGGGTCAGTAGGAGGCTGCGAGCTGCGAGTACATGGACGAGAGTGGCTGACCTTGCTGATGGAATAGACCACCGACATCAAGAGCACGTAAAGCAGACTGAATCGAACAAGCGCCCTCGCATGCTTGTTGATCTTACTGTTTGTCAACCTCGATGAGACTTTGATTGCGACAACTTTCCCGGAGATCTTATGGAACGAGATGGAGGGCAGCATCAGTTGTTGGGAGGAAGGCATGTCGACAAGGGAGCCAGTGTGTCAAGGCAAGGGAGTAGAAGACCAGGAGAGGATGATGATGGTGATGCTTCTCTTGTTCACCATGGCAGCCTCACATGCCTTGTCTTCATACATGCTGTTACTGCTCAACCTTGTCAGTACCTCTCATCCCGCCTTCCGCCTTCTCCCCTCCTCCCACTCTCACCATCAAGGATTTATTACACCGGTAGGTTCCTTTTTACCGTCCAGGTATATTATCCTTATTGTCCTCCTACCGATTTAACTTAACTTTGAGTAAAAGATACGCCTGAGAAAGGTACCGGGCCCGTCTCACACAGTACCGTACCGGTGGCTATGGGCCGCGCGGCCACTGCCACCCGGACCTGACGGAATACAAGTTTGTTAGACTTGTACTAGTCCAAAGTCACGCAGATATCACATCGACCTTAATTGTAACAAGACAGTTTTTGCTCAAGACCGAGTTTAATGCACACAAAACCAGAATTGAGGAGCACATGAGAGATAGACTGTATGCTAGGATGTGAAACCCAAGCATCCAGACATGAGGGGACCTTAGCAAGACGGCTAGGAAGGCCTCCTCTTCATCACACGTACTACATTGCCGCCTTGACACGTAAGTCGTCTTGGTTTACAGGAGAGTTTTTGTTAACTCGGCGCTATCTGACTGGCACGGCTGGCATACGTTCCATCAGGACCCGCTGGAACCGTTCAACGGTTCAGTTGAATTGACCGGCGACCGGTCGGACTCCGTGTCCCTGACTGCCACCCGGGCCCGGCCGGGCCCGCTGGAACTTCGGCGGAAATCGGACACTCGGACCGAGTCACTGGCAGCTTGGAGTAAGAATAAAGAGCGGCGCCTGCCACCCGGGCCGCGCGGTCCGCTCAGCTGCTGGAACTGACACTGACCGTCGCCACCCTTAACTTTGAGTAAAGAACAGCCTGAGGCTGATCGAACCGACCGTACCATCGGACTCCCGGCCCAAAGTGCGGCCGACGGTCGCCGGATCGATCGGATCAGTCCTGCCAACTTGGCATCGAGCAGCCGACTCGGCGGCATGCCCAGGCCAGTCACTGAGTGCCTCGGCAACATGCTCGGGCTGGCACCTGGTGACCTTTGAGGCAGAAGGCAGAAGGTTCAAGCACATGCAGCACAGGCGAAAGCTTGAGAGCACGCACATTGAAGGGCAAATGAATGCTCCAGGGTCGTTGGAGGCAAAGGACGAGGCAGATTTGAGTGATGAAGTGCGCAAGAGCAGGTTACAAGTTACCTCCCTCTGTCTTGTCGTTGACTTCCATACCTTGGATTGTGAACAAATTTTCAGATCAACTCGGAAAGAGAAGGGACCTTGGATCTCTCTACAAACACGAAGAATCATCCGCGTTGCGTCCTTTCTCTTATGTCTTGCCTGAAGGCTGACAATTCCTTCACAATATTTTGAGTGATTATCTTTCGGATGAATATTCGAAATATTTCAGTATCAAAGCTTGTCTTGCTGCAAAGAATATTCTAGACCATGGGGTTATCAAGAGCTCACAAATAGTAGGAATTGAATCAATAATGATAAGATTTGTCATTGGACAGTACTGTGACGTCTAATGATCAAAAATTCCTAATGAAATCACGAAATCATGGAAATAAATTGTTATCTGCAAATGTTCGAAAGACGAGCGCATCTGCTAATATATTCCATCGTTCGTGCAATTCATCAGAGAAGAAGAGATTTCGTGCAATCGAATCTAATAAATAAGACTTTTCAAGTTCATATTTTGTTCAAGTCAAACTAGATCATCCTGATTGTGATCAAAAGGTAAATAATTCAACCAACTCTGAAATTTTCTTCATACCTTAATGCGACGGCCTTGGCTCTACACTTGGATTAATGTTAAGCAGCTGTTCCATACCTTCATGGAGGCTGATGGGCATTGCAGGTGATTCACGAGGATCTAGTTGGGAATCAAAAAAATATCTCATACACAATTCATCATGAGAATACCGTTCAAAATGTCTTCAAACCCAACATTCTGTATTCCGTCTTGCATGGTATCCAAACCCACGAACTCGCTGTGAAAACCTGGCATTCTGCGATACTGTGCAAGGATAGTATTTTCCATATTCAACTATTGGAAGCAAGTGAGAGGATGACACCACGAACAGCAACTTCTTCGCACCCGCATTGCAGCATGAATTCCTTGTGTTCGAACTAAAGTTTGTTTGTAATCCTCGAAACTCTTCGCTGAGAACGTCTACGGACATTTTAGGAGAGCAAAGATCACAGCATCAACATACCTTGAGATGGCTCTGAAGGGAAAACTCCTCCTGCACGTCCTGTCTCACTCCCTTCCTCTCATTCTTCGCTCTCAGCTGCCATTCAGCCATTGCTGGACACCGTGTCCCTCCACCCCCCCCCATCCCCTCCCCTTTCCACTACCCCCTACTATCTCTGTCGAATGCAGGGTGGGTACAGTCAGGGGTACTTTCTTTACTCAAAGTTAAGTTAAAAAAGACAGCGAGAACTAAACCTATTCCTGCCGACTGCTGTCCCCCAAACTTAACTGATACTTTCACTTAACTGCAGGGGTACAGTGCGCTTGAACTTAATCCTGCTTTGCCTCGATTCTCACTGTCAGTATTCAATTCAAACCATCGGCTGAGTGCGAGCGGCACCGACAGGCGCCGCCGCGGACCTGAGTCGGACTAGCGCGGCCCGCTCACGCCGCGGGCCGGGGCCTCTCAGACTCCGGGGAGTCTCCACCGGGGACCGCCGTACTGACCTACCGTACCGTGGCCGCGCAGACTTTGAAAGGTCCGAGTCACGCACTGAGGCCTCTCCCCGGCAAACGTGAAAAAGTCAGTGCCCATTGGGCCGCACACGAGTTCGAAGTCCCGGTGGCAACGCCGTTGGCATCCGCGGACTCGGGAGGCTCGCAATGCCCGGCCGGGGAGCCTGGCCGGGCTGGTGCCTTTTTCAACGGTCACGGTGCAGTGCGGCCGGGTACTCAGCAGACGCCGGCACTCAGTGCTGACTCAGGCCGCGCCTGCCAGGGCCTCAGCCCGGCCAGGGCCTGCACTGCAGCCTGGCCTCTGGCAGGGCCTGCACCGGCATGGGTTGTCATTCCATTGGGTTCTCAACTGGATTTTATTCCGTCTCGGCGGGGTCTTTTTCTACCTGGATTTTTCTTAATGAATAGGTTTTGGATTTCAAAGTGAAAATTTTCCTTGAAATGTTTTACTTCTGTCAAACCACGCCATTTCAAATTGTGGGATCCTGCCAGCACCGTGCCATTTCTAGAATTTAAACGTTGTACAGAATGTACCAATGTTGTACACGGTGTCAGTTTGGGAGACTCACGTTCAAGCAGATCGCGCCCTGTGGGCACCATGTTGTGAGATAAATACATCATTGTGATGACAAGAACATCTTTTGATGCCAAATTTGACCAGATTTGAATGTATCATGTGGGAAAACGACTGCATTTCCTTTAAGCAGAGTGTTTTGAGGATGATGCATATCATGTTGCAATAAGAATTTTGTGGAAAGGAAATATTTGAATCTCAGTTCGTTGAGTTGCGTGTAAATGCAAATATGCTTTGAAGCATTGTGAGCATAGTTGTAACTGTGCATTGACTTGTAAGGTACGCATTCAAATTTGCATGCTCACGCTATCCAATAATTGTGTGACTTTCCTTGTCATACTTGCACTGAAACACCTCAATTCTGATGTTCCAAAGCCCTGATCAGCTGTTTTCACACTTTCAGAAGGGAAACATGAAAGGAATCGATGAGAGAGGCAACCTTCGAAGGGGGGGAGGAGGGCTCGTTCTGTTTGACGCGGGTCAACGGCCATGGAAGGCGGCGAGGGCAGCAGGAGCGGCGAGGGCGGCAGGAGCGGGGTGATGGTGGAGGGCGGGGAGGGGTTGGTGGAGGACATGGTGCTGTGGCTGTGGACGAAGAACAACATGCTTCAGACCAGGTAGCGGCTCTCGCTTGCGCGCGCACAGTGCTGAAACATTTGCTCAGGTGTATGTATCACAAATGTCCTCCGGTACTGGTTCCAGACACTTTCTTGCTATCTGAGAAGCAGCCCTACGCATGGTGGACGAGAGGATAGAGGATTCGTGTGAACTGATCTCTGACAGGTACTTCACGTCCATGAAGACTGGAAGCCTGCAGAGAAGAAGCAAAGACCTGAATGTAGATAAAGTCAGTGCTTCCGTCATACGACAGTCGCCTTTCGCTAAGCTGCATGCAGATCTGTGAGGTCATGTCAAAAAATCCAAGCGACAACATCGACATCCGCTCGGTCTACGTTGGATCCGCAGCAGGTGCTGCATGAAAGTTCCTTGGCTCGGTGCTACTCTGACAGGGTTGGATCAGGCGACGGGCAACCCATCACCGAGTATTTGTCAGCTGCAGGCTTGGAATACTTCCTAGCAGCGCAACCCAGCAAGTGAGAGTATAGGGGGACGGGGCAGGGGCCTGACAAGCTCTGCAGGAGGACGAAGAGAGGGCTTCTACAGAGATTCATCAGGCCCAAGGGAAGCAGCAACTTCCTGATCAGGGTGAGCTGGACTCCAGGTGAGGGTGAAGGTGCAGCTGGGCTGGAGTGAGCGACGTGCAGATGGCTGCTCGATGGACTCGTGCATCAACGTGAACAAGCTGGTGGGTCGACGGCTTGAGGAGCTTGGTTGCCTCTCACCCTGTGCGTCTGTTGCGACAGGACGACATGGATCTTGAGATTCAAGCTAGAGCCACGACCAACGACGAGGCGAACTGCGCGCTCATTCCTATGTCAGCTCTGAAACTGTTTGCGGCCGGTCTGTGATGTGACCACTGTTCTCAGGTCAGGGAATGTTCTCTTTGCTCAGCTGGAGAAGCTGACGACATGGTGACGATAAATGCTCTCCTTGTCTTTCACGCTGATCTCTTCCTTGGTGGAGCAGCATCGTTGAGCACGTGCAGAGCATCGCAGCGAACAAGGTTGACGCGAATGTCACAACATCAACCCGAACATCCTTCATGACATGTCGTGATGCGCAGCGAGATTTTGTTTTTCTTTGATATTGATGATTTCCCGATGCTGTATTCATATTAGCTATGAGCGCTCTGAAAGGTTGCGATCAGATCGACATCATTGGCCTGGTTCTCAATTTCAGCATAGACGCCGAAGACCGAGTTTGGTTTCTCTGGTGAGTTTGTTTTGTTTTCCATGTCGATTTGTTGTGAGGGAGCGCAGTGGTCCTGTATAAACACTTGCATTCCGAATCTATTTCTGTCTTGATTGTTAAATGTCTGAGAATTCAACATTTTTCTCTCTGTCAATGTGCAAACATCTTCTTTTCTAATGGCATTCAACCATACTTGACTCGGATGATAAATTGCTGATCGTTGTGATCACTTTGACATTCTTGTGATGGTGAGTGGTTTTGCTTCGTCAGGTGTGAACATCTCCAAGTGATGCCGACAGCGACCCATCAGTCCGACATGTCGACTCTCTGAACTCTCTATTATGTTTCTCACTTCTGCTAACAGCGAACAAGAAGAGAAAGAAAATCTAGTTCATGAGGTCGTCCTCGTCCTCGTCCTCGTCCTCGTCCTCGTCGTCATCCTCGTCCTTCTGTCCTCCTTCTCTCCCCCTTCTCTCCCCTCCTCTTCCTCATGCTCTCCTCTCCTCCTCTCCTCTCCCTCCCCCCGGCCACGCCAATTGGCACAGCATATGTGCCGCTGACTTGTCTGTTGGTGTAGACTTTGCATGGAGGAGAGATAGAAGCGCCCGAGGTCTGGAGGAGGAGAGGAGGGGAGAGGAGAGTAGAGGAGAGGAGAGAAGTGGAGGGGAGAGAAGTGGAGGGGAAAGTAGAGGAAAGGAGAGGAGAGAAGGGGAGGGGAGGGGAGCGTAGAGGAGAGGAGAGGAGAGGAGAGGAGAGGAGAGGAGAGGAGAGGATAGAGATCCTGAAGACACACGACAGGAGGAGGAGCTTGTGGTGCTGCTTCCCACGGACAGCTCGAAGAAGAAAGAGGAGGAGAAGAAAGACAAATCAAGGTAATTGAGGAGAGGAGAGGAGCGAATAAGCGGAAGGGAGGAGGAGGAGGAGGAGGAGCAGGAGCAGGAGCAGGAGGAGCAGGAGCAGGAGCAGGAGCAGGAGGAGGCTGAATTGTATGACAGAGCCTCGTCAGCTTCGCTCTCCCATCGAAGTTGTGAGTTTGCCCCTCATCTTGTGCTCTCTTCTCATCCTGCCCTCGCAGCTTCTTCTAGTCGCTCAGGAGAAGGAGAGGAGAGGAGGAGGAGGACTGAGGTCCCCGGTCGACAAGGCGTTCCACCGAGCGGGAAGGGGAGGGAGAGGGGGAAGGAAATTTCAGCAGAGGAGGAGCGAAGGTATGATTGGGAGGGAGGGGAAGGAGAGCTGAAAATGCGTAGGAGGAGAGAAGAGGCAGAGAGAAAGGCGGCGGAGGTTGAAGAGAAGCTGAAGATCGCAGAAGCGCGAGGTGAGTGCAGGAGATGGAGGGAGAGGAGGAGGGAGAGGAGGAGGGAGGGGGGAGGAGGGAGGGGGAGGGAGGGGAAGGGAGGGGGAGGAGGGAGGGAGGGGGGAGGGGGAGGGGGAGGGGGA